ACACACACACACACACACACACACACACACACACACACACACACACACACATACACACGCACACAAACAGTCCCGACACCAATCTTCTTTATCCCCAACTTCGCTCGAAAAGTAGACTGTTCATTGTCAGATATCCTTGATTGATTCGCATCCTGTATCTTTTTGTGTGGGCGAGTTTTAGAATGACTGTGGCCGGCATTGCTCTGCTCTGCTCTTTCTTTCTTTCTTTCTTTCTTTCTTTCTTTCTTTATTTCTTTCTTTCTTTCATTCTTTCTTTCTTTCTTTCTTTCGTTCTTTCTTTCTTTCTTTCTTTCTTTCTTTCGATTTGCCCGGCAGTTCAAGTACCCTATTTTAGGTTCAAATTGTGGGATCCACAAGGTTTTGTCATCATAAATTCTAGCGGGATTTGCTGGGGTCACAAAAGAAAATTAATAATCTCCGCGGTCTGTCGTTGGACAGTGACCAGTCACAGATAACACAATTCTCACGTGGGGCTGTCAGGTGATGTATTTTGGTCAGCTGTCCTCACAAACCCCAAACCAGAATTTGGCTTCCTGGATTTTCCTTCCACACCTGGATGTCCTGTGTCTACCTTCCTTCCTTCTTTCCTTCCGCCCTGCGTCTTTCTCGTGAATCCTCCTCTATTTCCCCTTTAACTTTAACGATTTGGGGATCGGTTTTCAGCGAATTTAGGACTTGTGGGGAGTGAGGTTTCTTGGTAAAGGTACTGCTCTATAACAACAGCAACTACCCAGCGACTACTCTACAATATATAACAAAAGCAGCAGCAGCAGCAAAGCCAACGATGACAACTGCGATAAATGCAATAACCACCCCCACCCCACTACATTTCTACTACAACAACAAATAAACAAACAAACTACAGCAAAAACAACAATTAAAATCACAGTAACAACCGACTACTACCTCCACGGCAACTACAAACGTCATGGCAATATCAGCTACGACTATCATGACAATAAAAGTACAGCGACAAAAGTAACAACAACAACGAAAGCGACAATAACAACAACTACCACCACCACGACAACAACAACAGCAACAACCACAACAACAACAACAACAACAACAACAACAGCAACAACCAGTACCACAACAACAACAACAACAGCAACAAC